ATAGAATGATGTTTTATCATCAGTTAATGGAACACGAGATGAAACTTTTAGTGCGTAAGTATTCGAAATGATTTTATTTATAATTTAACAAGTATTATTCTCGTTTTTGTTTTTAGAGCTCTTCTTCGAATTTTACATGACGTAATATTACCAATTTTAACTAATACTCGACAATTACATGGTCAAATCGATATGACATTAGTTTCTCTTGCATCCGATTATCTTTATGTACCTATGCATATTATGGACTAACTGAACAGATAAAAACTGGTTTCTATCAAAGTCAAAAGAGCTTAAGCTTTCATCGTAATCTATATGATAGTAACATATTACCCATTAATTTGAAGATAAAACTTTCCTGCAATTCATTAATTACTAATGACCTAGAGAAAAACATTTGACTTTAACAATTTTCATATTTAACTATTTTAAATGAATGTTTTAAATTATTATGATCATCATTTTATATCTCATTATTATTACAATGGATACATATTCTTAATATGCTTGATTATACACAAGAAGCATGGTAATCACCAATATTAACATCATCATCATTAAGAATACATTTATCTATAAATGGTCAATTACAATCTTATTGTGATTTAATATGTCATCATGAATTATATGTTGAACATTTTACATCAATAACAACACATTATCAATTATTATTATTTTTTTTGTTTGAACAAAGTGATAAATAAATGTACATCATTTATTTGATCTTACACATCGTACATCAGTTTCAGGTCATTTATTCGTTTGTGAATGAATACATTTAGATGAAAATGGTCTTGTATTAGTTTTATTAATTGAACAATTTCTTCCATTACCATATATATCTGTATTACGTTTAGTTGAATTAATTGTTTATGATCGTATTGAAATGATGTTAACACTTGATCAACAAACATTAAATAAACAATTATTACCTGAATATTTACCATTAATTTTGTAAATATTATCAATAACAACATCAATTGATATTATTAAAGAAGATTTTAATAATCTTAATTGTCCTATGGATATAACAAGAAAAATTTATGCACAAATGCTTAAAAATGTAACTTATAAAAAATGATTACCATTTATGATGTCATCGGTATGTTTTAGTTTAATTTATCGAAATAAATATATATATGTATAATAAAAATTTTAATCCAATAAAAAGAAATGTTTTTTTTTACTTTGACATTGTTTATGTGGTAGTAATAGATGAGATTTTTGAATAATTCAAAACTTCGAAAAATATTTTGAAATAGAAAATATGCAGAATTTCAGGTAATACAAATCGTAAAGGAAAGCATTTAAGCTACATTAGTACAATGACCGAATAATTCCTCTCGAATCTTATTGATCAAATTCTTAGTCGTGCTACTTGTACTGTTACAATTAAAGAAAACGACGTCTTTCTAATATTATATTTCGTAAGATGTTTTCGATTGTGTTATTTATTTGCAACCGAAAATAATATTTCGAAATAAATTGCATTCGGGAATTTCGATAAACTTTCTATAAGTTTGAAATCGTGAACTCCGAAAACGTATTGGGTTTTTTCCGAAGCATTAAATTTTTAGGATGATTCTTATAGTAAATGAAAATTAATTTGAGAAAATAAGAAACAATATAAATCTGTTCTTTGTTTGTTTTCCTAGGATTTTGTATCGTTATATCAAATGCATCTCATTGTCTTATCCTTAGTATTCTATCAACATAACGATTAATATCAAATGAAACAAATTAAAATGACATTGAAACAACACCTAATACAATTTATGAAAAAAGTCTTTTATCATGCTCTACCCATATCGTCAAAATCGCCTCAGTTTTGATGATTTATCGCGATTTGCAGAAAAGTTAACGATTAATCGCGATTGATCGTCGACTTTTTGAGTAATTCAGATATATCGCGATTAATCACCAATTTTTTTAGTACTGTAAATGCATCGCGATTAATCGTCGATTTTTTAGTGATGCAGATGTATCGTCATAAATCATCGATTATTTTGAGATTTGTGATTGGTCGAAACTAACTTCAGATTTTCAGATATTTTCATCGAAAAAAACATTTTGAAGTTCTATGATAATCTATACGACAATCTCCTGATTCATTAATTATCGGTTTATTAGCTTAGATAAACAAAAAAGAACTCGTTTGTATCTTCTTATTTAGTTGATCTGTATCGAATTAAATTACATAATCTACTGCAATGATTGGCTTGTGCCACGAATCATTGACGAGTTTCAACACAAATTTTTATTTCTTAATATCTATACAAACGAAGATTAGTTTTTGATCTTTATAAAAAGCTGGCTTCTTTCAATCATTGCAACTAATTTTAGAAAATACATGTAATTAATTAACCAAGAATAAAATTATTCTCAACTTCTTCTTTTCTCTTCTCTTACATATAAATTCTCACCTCTTATTAAATTCTATGAATTTTTTTTCCACCCATAGAACTTGTAAAATATTCATCGGTTTTACCCTGCATTAGGAACCAGAGACGAAAATGAATAACACAAGTTCAATTAGATTCAGTTCGATTCATATTGCGTTTGGACAAGGGCAGATGTGGGGGTGAGATGTGGTTTTATAGCGAAAGTCAATCTTCTATCAACCACACCCACCCTTAAACTATTTTTTTAATTTCTTTCTTTTTGAAATTACTTGTCCAAGTGTCATGACCAGTGGATTTATTGTATTATTACAAAAAATATTTTAGTAAAGTAGTGGAATATATTTTCGTATTAAAAATGACTCAGGGGTGTCAATTTATTCCTGTGTTTTAATTTTCGAGTATATTAAGTAAAAAATAATTCTTTCATTATTAACATTTACAAGTATAGTTTATAAAAATATTTATATTCAAAGATAGATATAAATAACAGTAACTTTTTTTTTAAATAAATTAATTTCTGATGATATAAGTTTTAAATAAATTTAATTTTAAATATTTTTATTTGTCAATATAAATTGATATCATTCAAATTTATTTATAAATAAAAATTATTTAAATTTATTTTAAAGTAGCAGAAAAATTAGATCCATAGCCTTTACAGTAAAGGCTTTACTGGTAACATTTTCGTGTC